ACTTTTGATGAGAGATCGAAACAATTTAACTTGTGAATAATAAAATTTTTGTCATAAATTACAATCCAAAAACTATTTTGTTTTTTTAAAGTTGAAAACTATCATTTACGATTTTTTAAAAATTGGTTTACCACCTCACCATGTTATTTTTGAAGTGGAAGCATTAATTTCTGAAAAAAGATAATTATTTTTCTTTTGCTTACAATTTATTTTGCTTCAATGAGATGCTAATTATTTCCAAATGATAGCGTTCAAAAGGCCATTGAGTACTGAATTGGTTTGCCAACTAAAATCTTTATTTTTGAACTAACTTTGATTTTCATAAAGTTCTAACAAGGAGAACCTCAGGTTAACTCTTCTGGGAGAGTCAAACCGATCATCTTATATTATAGACCCTATTTAGCGGTTTAATTACAAAAATACCACTACCACTACCACTTTTTACTCTCTTAATAATGTTAATAATGATCGGGTTCAAATACCGTCAGTGTATAATGTATTTTAAAATTTTTTAAATTTATTTTTATGTTATGTTTATATGTTAACTTTAAAGTTAAATATTGAAATAAATATTTTTAATTATTAACTAATTGCATATATTTTGGAACGAAAAATGATATATAAAGTAAGTTACAAACGTTTAGAGACTAAATCAGTCTCTAAATTTGTATCATCATGAGGGTAACAAAAAATAACACATTTTACAACTGTCTAATTGGAAAACACATTTTATTATAAATGGTAAAAATAATCTGTCACAAAGCTGACAAATGTCGTTGTCCAAAGCATGTGTGTTTGTGTATGTGTGTGTGCATAATTCGAAAATTACGTTTTAATTAATTCCGAACTCGTTACGTGTTGTATTATTTTAGGACTCAAATTACACAGTTAATTGTATCAAATGACGCATACTTTATTCATAAAATTAGCACAAACCATAACTGAATTTTTGGTTATATTTTGCTTACCGAGTAAGGAATTTTTTTAGTTATCAAAAATGAGCCATTGATATAATTTACTTAAAGTTTGCTATCATTGTAGCCATTCAAAGTTACGTAGTATAATATAAATATTCAAAGTCAATATTTATTAAACACTGTGATAAGATTGCGATTTAAAATATTCAATATAAATACATTATATCGATACAATTTGCTCACGTATATGTATGCTCGTAACTTCATAGAATCCTATCGTACAAAAAAAACTTTTTTTTTGTCAATCAAAACTTTATTAAAATTTTATAATACAAAGTTGTTGAGGTTTATAAAAAATAAAAAAACCTAAACACAAAAATATAAATCTAAATAATAAACAGAATATTAACAAAATAAAATTACAAAATATTGAAATAATAATCTTATGACATAAACTGTAACTACTCTGTCGAGTGGTGAATGCTTCTATATTGGTAGATGTGGAAGATCATTGAGCCATTTCTTTTTTAGTCTTATATTGGACTGGGCATGGATTTGATTTGTGTGGAATTTTATTTACTTGATGTGAGATATGCTTCTTCAATAAAAAAAAAACTCACTAGATACATCGCTTCTTCGACACAATTTTGAATTTAAGAACTATAAATAAGAACTAAACTATTTGGCTTAAATCGCTTCGAGATCCTCCATAGATTAGTAGTTATAGCTAAAGGATTTGAATCAAAAGTTTCGAATAAAAAAATTCATCAATTCGGATAATTTAGATAATGGAGAGTCATTAAACTCAGCAAAATTGTTGTTGAATATATAATATGTAAAAAAATAAGTGTATTATTTTTTGTGTTATTCTTGACACTAATTGCTAAATGATATTAATATCTAAGGATTTATTCTTATTATTTTCAACTTGGTGGCTTCTAATATTTCAAGTACATATCCGGGCGAGAATCTTTGATCTACGACGATGTTTTTAAGGTATAGTTGGAGAAAGATCTTTTTCTGAAAATGTAGGAAAACGCAAAAGTTTTAATTCAGCTCAACATACCATTTCTGACCATATTCGACAGATAGGTTTGTGTGAAAGTATTCACGATGCGAGCCACATCAAAAAAATTAGATAAATTTTGATCATCGAGTTGCCATATAGACATCTTTTTTTTCTAACAATAATAAAATTGCAATCACAAAAAAATCTATAAGCTGTTCTGGTTATTACAACTCCAGTAATAGTGCTGGACTTCTACATGAATGACATGATGGAGATCACCCCAATGGGCTACTTCATTTTAATGCTTTATATGGGCTACTTCATTTTAATGCTTCATCTTCAATCTTTTAATGTCCGATGGTTCTAAAACGAGAATCATCAAAGTAGGGTTATTGTGGTTGATATTATTGTCGTGATGATTTCCACTTCTATTTTTACTATCTCCTGGGCAGTATTGATTCTCAGATCGTTATGTATTATTTGGTTTTTAACATACCAAGGTGCATTTGCAATACTTCTTAGAATTTCTGACCGTATCCATAGATAAATTAACATAAATTGGACAGGACATCTTTGCTTGCTCGGAACAAAACCGAACTTTTTTTTCATCCGGATGATATCTGGGGATAAAAAATGGATTACATACTACTTCTAATTATTATTTGTTCTTGAAACATTACTTGAAGGACATAATATTCAAAAATGAAGAAGATGTCAAACAAGCACTGGTTAAATTTTTTGCGTCTATAATAAATCATTTTTCAAAACTGGGATAAACAAATTGCCTTCACGCTGTGAAGTGATCATTAATAATAATGGCAATAGTTAATTGGCGAAGGGAAAAAATTGTATTGTTTTATTCCACAAACAGACACAACTTTTTGGTAGACCTAATATATAAGTATATTGTAATAATCGTGAATTTTTGTATGAAATGGGATCAACTATTCTCTCTTTAACTTCTGAACTCAGTTGCAATTTAAGTTAGCTCAACGTGCATGTGTTATTTGGCCAAGAAACCGTTACTAATGTTACTATTATTATTATTATGGTTAATAGTATTTTACACACACACATGTATATGTATACATGTGAGTATGTGATGGATTATACATTGACCACAGCTCGCTTAAATAAATAAATATAAACAAGCGTATATGCATAAATCGCACGTCCGACGAACAATGTTTTGTTTATTTGATTATTCTCGACGGTTGCAAATCAACGTTAATAATATTTGAAGCGGCTCGACACACTCGTTGTACGAGGTGCTTATGTAGTTAGATTAAGATATATTAAAAACACTTATAGAACAATCATGCAACAAGAGACACTTGTCGCACTAACTTGACTGCCAATTGGAAGATCACTAACGAAATATTAACTAACTAATTTTTAGATAATTCTAGCATGGAAAACTAGTAGTATGTGTGCATATGTACCACGCATATAAAAATGCATGTACAGCCAAAAATATTTTTAGTTTTATTGCTTATGTCATTGGTATACGATTATTCGTAATATAAGAATACAAGTTAATGTCAGTAGATTTACAGAACCTTAACTAACTACACGGTGATGGCTAACATCTGAACAGATGGTACACAAAATTTAAAATAATAAATGGTAGTAGTGCTGCCCTAGGGCAGGTTCGTGAGCCGAGTTAAACTCCAACTCGGTTCAGTGAAGAATAGCGAGAAAGATTTCCTATTGGCTTTACACATCGCAATGCCCGAAATGGGCAATTTTCCATTAGAAACGTATTTCTGATCTATATTTTGAAGTGAAAATTGCCATCACTACTGCATGATATCAGGTAATCCAGAGCGTTCTAACTCACCATCCTGCCCTCACAAGGCATTGCGTTTAATAGTTTCACCATGCAACGCCATGTAACTCGGAATGGAATTTTAAACAATTGAAATTAAAAACACGGTGATGGAATTTTAAACAATTAATCATTTTGTTTTAGTAGTTTATATTATTTATATTTGATATATTATTATGAAAATACATTAAGTTCAATCCCGCGTTGCGTGCGACCTGATATCAAGCAGTAGTTACATCGATATTCTCAAAGATATTTTCGAAAAAAGCGCTTTTGATCATTACGACATACAGTTAAAACTAGTGGTGTATGACATCAAAAAACAGTTATTGCCATGGTGACTTAAGGCAAATTGCTGGAACTTCCCGTACCATAATCATGTATTAGACGAATAAAATTTTTCAACCTTCAATCTCGTATAAATTATTATAATATCATTATTATTATCAACAACAATCCACTCAATAGTAAGCTTGTTGTGTTGACATATTAACGTCGGTATTTAGTAAGCTATCTAAACCCAACGGTTGGCTTATCTTTATTTGATAAATTTATTTCTTCACTTGGAGGCAGCTGGAAGAAATCCGCTCGATATCAAGCTGCCTGAGTTGTGGAACCTGGAACTATTTGCTTGTAAGGCCAGATCGCTCGGACATAGTGTAATGCAAAATTATTGCTAAATCTCAAAAGCATGAGAATCAAACTAATAGGCCAATTTTGCCATTAAATAGACTGATGTTATGGCAAGTCTATGTTACGTAGCAGTTTTGATATAAAGTGGTACTAACACTGTTAAAATGTAATATAATGAAGCACAAACACACACACGCACATATAATATATATATATATATATATATATATATATATATATATATATATATATATAGGTTTGTCGTGGCGAAGGTCGTTAACGCATTGACTTATCGGGCAGCGCGATGTCCATTTTCAATTGAAAATATAGATCAAAATATGTTTCCAAAGCCCATCTAGGGCATTGCGGTGTGAAATGGCAATGGGAAATTTCTCACACTATTCTTCCCTGAATCGAGTTGGAGTTTTAACTCAGCTCACGGACCTGCTCTAGGGCAGTACACCCATATATATATATATATATATATATATATATATATATATACATATATTATATTTTATGCTTCGATAATAAGATATGAATTACAATAGCAATGTATTGTCGCTCATGTGGGAGAATTATCTTTCATATTATGTTTCTGGTTATTCCCCAGAACGTGTCAGGTTGGCAGGATTCTCGTGCTCTGACGCTCCTGGCTTTTTCCAACGAAGAAATATTATTCAGTACACCTGTGGCTTCCAGTGCGGTCCCTACCAGTCAAACATTAAGGGCTCGCACCTTCAGTGCACCACCCTTATTCAACGAAATTCTGAATGATATCTTCATCAGTGTCAAAACAACCAAGAATTATCACGAATCACGTCTTAGAGCTATACTCAAAACATGGTTTCAAATAGCTAAGAAACAGGTAATGATATTTTTGAACTATTTATTTATTATTTATAGCATAGGTAGTTTCGAAAAGTATATGTGAAATACCAAAGAAATACTAAATTAGTAATAAGTAGCATTTTGCCTTAAGGCAAAGTGCTTGAATTTATCGACATGTAAATATGGGTCGATTATTTGCAATAATTGCATTAATAAGAAATTGCATATCAATATTAAATCAACATGTCTTAATCAATAATAGATTAAATCAATAATTATGAGTGGTTTATAAGTACAACGAGTTGCTGTAGGACATCATACTGTGGGAGCTTATTGCATGTAATTCAATTTTGTAGAAACTTATTATTGTTGTTATAAATGGAATTGTTACTTACTCTCGACAAATTGTGACAAATTTAAAATTGTTTTTTTTTTTCATAAATGCGCCTAATACATACGCGATGTATTTTCTAAAGGCGCGGACCATTGTTCCAAACTTTAATGATTTTTTTTCATTAAACCACTTGACGTAGGTCTATTATATTTTAGGGTGTTTTCTTAGACTAATAATAAACAAAGTCTGATCAAAATTTTCAAAAAATAATTAATTAGAAAGAAAGGGTCCGACAGATTTTTGCCTAAAACTAATCACCATTTCCAACTGATACGTGTCTGCGGTGACAAAATTCAGCCCTGAATTAAATTCATCCTTGGACATTAATAGCAAATCTGTACCTTTCTTCTAGAACCTTTTAAATACTGGACACCTTAGGATCATGATTTTTTTCACCTAAGTCAGTCGTGGGACGCGTACCTCATCAATAAATAATATTTATTTTTAAATACCAAAGGCAAAGCTGTCGACTAATGTTGGACCATAATAATTTTACAGACACCGTTTTATTATTTGCTTAAATCTAATAGTTTTTGAATTTTCAAAATTGGTCCTGGATTTCTGGTTTAAAACAGTACTGGAGTTTTTTTTACGTTTTCTGATAATTCTAAGGTAACGGATCGTCCGATAATTTCAACATTAACAATTTGATTCCTTATCCAGTTTTATCAAGTGGCTTCTAAATTTTTAAATATGGTGCAAAAATTTTTGAGAAATAATCGACAAAAAATTAAATTTTGGTCCACATACATACATACCTTTTCCATGTTTTCAGCCTCAAACGATTCAGATTCAAAATGACTTGAAAGGTCATACATAAAATTATCAAGTCGGATTTTTTGCTGAAATCATTAGGTTTTTCTTCGAGAAGTTAATTCAATTAAGCGGTTGACATCAAATAACGTAATAATAAAATAATTATCATGATATCTCATTATATTCGACAATTTTTTACATGTCGGCTTGAAAATTCATACTACTGCTAGGTGTATTAGTTTTATTTTATTCTTTACTGATTTTGAATATTTTTTTCTACAAAATAGGTAATCATTTTCATGATCTTTGTATTTTAAAATGTATAAAAAAATAATTACAATAATTAATTTTTGTTTCAGACTTGGTTTTTTACCGATGTAGAAGATCCTGTATATCAAAAGCTGACTGGTAAGTTTTGATATGTATGGTATTTATTTATTGCAAATTTTACTGTTTGAGTATTCATTTGAATTATGACTTGGTAAATTAAATTAAAAATTGCAAAATTTAAATTTAACATGAACTATGTTGATTTGTTTGTTATTATCGATATTCATCTATCTCTGGATATGTTGATATCTAAGGCATATTAGGGCGATACTTTGAAAATGAGCTTTGTTAAAGATATTATACTTTTTTCATTACGGACTTGTACAAATGTGCTATTTATAAGATGAAGTAACTTGACTTATATTTAATTATTATTAGGTATAATCTAAGTAGATAAAGTCATCTTAGTTGTGTTTGAAGCGCAAGATGTAGTTTTATCGTTTTACATAATTACGTTGTCTATATTCCTTATAAGAATGTAGAAATTACATTTTACCGCGATGAATTGTTATTCAACTGTTGAAGTTTTTAATAAAATGATTTTAATATGTATACATGAAAATGCTGGAATATAAACATAATTTATGAAGAAATTCATGCATATAAGCCTGTACTAATTAAAATATCACGTTCAAGAAAATGCCAATGAAAGTTGCGTCGAATTTTAAAAGAAATACCTTTATATTTATGTATATATATATATATATATATATATATATATAGTTTTATAATGCAATTTATTTTCAGATGGTCATATGATTAATACGAATTGCTCGTTCTCTCATAGTAGAAGAGCACTTTGCTGTAAAATGGCTGTTGAGTTTGATGCTTTTTTGGACAGTGGTAAACGGTAAGTTCAAAAATTTTATATTCATATAATTATTATTTCAACATAATTTCTATTAGTTTTACTGTTTAGTTGTTTGGTTGCCGGTTCGCCAATCTTACATTTCACAGAATTTCTAATTCTTCTAATTTCACAAAAAGTAGTGTTGAAATATTTATGCCTTATAATTGAGGATCTAAAAATTACAATTTTAATTGTGATCGGTAAAGTCTGCTGACATACATATTACGTTTTATTTTTTTCTATTTGACATCTTATTACGTTTAAATATTCTTTATGATATGAAAACATCAAATCTTCTACTACATGTAGTATAAGGTTCATGTATGTAAATCTATAAATCCAATTGAAAAACTTGCAAATCATTTTGCTTCAACAAAACGACTGTTCACACTCAGGTTTACAAGTTGATTGCTTTATTTACTTGTCTAAGAGTTTTTGTTTTTTTATGTACATTAATTTATTCTTCAATATGTTTGTATAAGAAATATAAAGGGTTTTTGATTATTGAGCCAGCCGTGTCATAACCGATAAGCATGTGACTATGTGACTAGCTCCGACTTCGTTCCCAACCTCGGTTAAGCTCGCTATCAAGCAGTATGATATCAAATTTCCACTTTAGGGTATAGATCTCATTTATAAACTACAGTGAAAATGGCTTTTAGGGGTATTGTCACATCACATACAATCCAACATTATTAGATATACATCTCTAATATTTATGTAGCATAAAAGAAGTTAACTATTTGGTTGCCCTCTTGAAAAAAAAGTTAGAAATGTAAATTAGAAAACACAGCTCAAAAAATGTGTACATAATTCTGTTCACTGTCAAATTAAAAAAAAAGTTTACATTAGTGTCTTAATTGACCAAATTAGTGGATCACTAATATGGTCCTTTATCATGTTACACATAAAGTAACGAAGTGATACGCAAATTAATGATCCTTTCATGATACGATTATTCTATTCTCAATTTGCTACAACTGAAATTAATTTGTAATAACATAATCTTATAAAAAATACCGAGAAATAGCATCCCACTGAATTAATAGAATGTACTACATTCCACTATGCATATTGTTTGTCTATTATATAGTAACTTAATATATGTTTGCACTAAATCAATAATAGACTAGTTTGTTTTCATCAATTTGTAAAAACATTTTATAAAAACATATGATTTACAGTTCATAGCATAATTTTGTTTTTGCATTTTCATAAAATCTTAAGTCTTAAATCTTGAATCGTTTTCATAAAATCTTAAGTCTTAAATCTGTCACAGTTTATAATTGTGTTGTTCAACTTTTGTTAGAGGTCGCTCGTGCAATTTCTTCGTAAATTAGTCCAAAAATTATAGTAGTATTAAAGATTTAAACTCTTTCAATTCTCAGGTTGTTTTATATGTCGGGACGTTCGTTCTACCTTCCTTATGGCAATATTTTCCTATGCCTTAGGATTTTTAAAAAGCGATGCGTAATATCTTATGAAATTTTAGTTGCAGATTCATTTGCAAGATTGCAATCAATTATATGAAATAATTTGCAAGATCTCAATGCCGATATTGCATATCTCCGTTCCTATGTTAAAATGAAACTCTAGATAAATTTCAGCCTTTACGGTATACCAAAAATATAAATCAGCATTTAATCTAGAATAGAGCTATGTACGCTAAACTGGTTTCCACGGCAGCAAACAGGTTATTTGAATTGTTATTAAGTATATCATGCGTATATCTGCCTATCCTTTGGTATTAACTAACTAGATCTCGATATATATTTAACCGCCGTCAATCTTATATATGTGAGTGCAATGGCGACTACATACATAAACCGGGCAGCGATTGGCAACCAATAGGCCTTGCCACACCTGTTAACTAAATTTCACGGTGTTATATATATTTTGTAATTCTTATTATGGCCTTTTATAACTAAAACAATTTTGTAAAAGTTCTTATTGAAAACTCTTACTTCTTATTTGACAAAAATCGAAGTAAATCGATTGTCGAACGCCCTGGTAAAATTTACTTCAATTTTTTTTATCCTTTTTCAGATATCCAAAGAATATATTTTAAATACCACTTATATAAAAATAATCATTTTTTAAAATTTAATTACAATGTTCATAATTTTAATTAATGTTTGTAGAAGCTGCCACTGAATTACTTCTATATATTTTATTTTTTTATGATTTTATATTTTATAATTACTTTATCGTTAGGAAATGTTATCTTTTTTTTCTAATAAAATCTCACTAAAAAATCAATTTGTGCATTCACTGAATTGATAATTCCTCAAATTTTACATGTTTACTGCTGTAGTTCATAGAAACACTTAAATAGTTTAAACGTAAACCTTTTACTTCTTATCTTTTGAAATTCACTTTTTTACTAATAAGTGAATTCTTTGAATTTTAAATGAATTTTTAAAATAAATACAGAAAGTGTCTACATTCATTAAAAAAAAATTAATAGTTACGTGGAAAGAAGATATTTCATTACTCGAAACATACAAAATATTTAGAAACTATAAAGCTTCAAAAAAAGAAAATTTAGTTTACCCGCTTGCATACATCAATTACTTATAATTAATTTTGAGAGTATATATAATATCATTAACGATTTTTTTAATGGTAATTTAGGTAATAATAATAGTTCAGATATATAATTTTGAGAAAAGTTGATATAATTTTGTATATATGCTCGTATTGATATTAATATACAATAATATATTGACACTTTTTGTGAATTAAGTGTAGGCAATATGATTTACATTAGATGCTATTGGAATAAATAAATAAAAAATCATATATATATATATATATATATATATATATATATATATATATATTTGAATATATATAAAGGTAATTGAATGGCAGCATTAACAAATGATTGGCTCCCTGTTTTAAAATGTTGAGCCTCATTCGCACATCTACTAATGTAAGACACCATATCCATATTCACTGATGATGACAAAATTCTATATCAAAATGTATGGAACAGTGAAAGATTAATTTTTCAAGCTTTGTCTTTACTTACTTTGATGTATCGCATTAGTATTTACTCACATATCTCAATATCCTTTAACTTTAACTTTAACATAATTTATAAATACTAATAAAAAAAATATATTTAATATTTATTAGTATTTATATATTATATAAAGAGATCATAAATATGGTTTGTTTACGTAACTTTCCAATGAGAGCTCTAATTACTTACATTAAATCTATGGGTTAAATACATCCTGGTATTTGAAGAGTCAGCAATTGATATGACTATATCATTTTTGCATGTCGCTTAAAATGGAAAATGCATTTATTGTTTATGTGATCAATTTTAAAGTTTTTGACTGTTTTCTGTGGAGTTACAATAATAAGGGGTTTACTGGCGCATTCCCACAGTTTGACCCCGTACGTCCATATTGGCGCTTAATCAGTACCTTGTACCTTGTAACTGATTTAAGTCAGTTAAATCTTTTATCAATTTGTTTACATTTTCTACTGATATAAGTAATTCGGTTTAGTTCCTGATCCAAATGCATACCCAAATACTTAGCTACTGCAGAGTCTGGAACTATAAATTTTCGGAATCTTAAAATTTGTTTTGCATTCTTTTTTCAAATAAAAAGGATCGTAGTTAAATTTTTTTTGTTAAAAAGTTTATCGTAAAAAGAGCATTTATTTAAATATAATTATAATGTTATATTTCAAAATAAAACAATTTACCTCGTTACAATATTCTCGGCATATTTGCTATTAGATTACAAATACATGTCGACGTGATCTATTTAGTGTATAGTTCAACAGTACGGAATACACTCGTATGTCTATATAATTATTTTAATAATAGGATTTTTTACATATGACTGTATCATAATCGCAAACATCTCTTGGTAAATAATAATTATTAACCTCGATAACGGTTCTGCGGCAGTACCCAGCACCCGACGCGTACCTAGTATCAGAGTATCTACTCGCAGGGGCGCGGCTCTCGGGTTGGCGAACCGCTAAGCGTTCCTTTCCGCTACATTTATTTGATACAAAATGAAAAATGATGAAAAATCTTGTACTATTAAGTAAAGCGCTTAATAGCCAAATATTGTATACAATTTAGTATTGATCGCTATTTAATATCATGCGATGATTTTTAACTTTCCGTAGGGTTATTTAAAGTAATCGCAAAAATCGAAAATGAAATTATTCATTTATCTTTACGTTTTAAAGTCTTCTGAATATTTTGGAATACCTTAAAAAAATAGAAGTATGTACAAAAAACTTTCGATTTCTATTGATGGGGAGTCGTGCTGATTAATTTTTGGCGGTTTTGGAGATCAAATAAAATAGTAAAAAAATAATCTTGGGTGGACAAACATGATCATTATACATCTGCGCATCATATTATCAAATATTTTGTAGAGATTTTAATAATGAGTGAAAATTTTGTTTACATTTCTATGGGTTCCGTACCAATCTTTATATTGTTTAACTGTTAGACTGAAACGTGTCGACTACGCGTTTGTATATTTCGTTTCTAAAACACAGTGCGATTGTTTAAAAAAAAAATAATGCAAATCAAATTTCATCAAAAACTTTATTTTTTCAAAAACTTCAGAAAATTGTAAAGCTTAAAAATTTTAAATTACGATACGGGAAGTTCCAGCAATTTGCCTTAACGCACGATGCCACGCACCACTAGTTAAAATTTTTATACGCCTTGCGTTAAAATTATTTTATACGCCTTGCGTTTCATGTACGGATTATATGGTAATAATTTTGAAATAAATGTGCAACGTAATGTAATGATTTTTACTATATGTAATTATTCTTTTTATGAATATGTAATTTTCAATCCAAATTGAAAGTTTTTCTCAAAAAATCCCTTCAATTAAAAACAATATAAACTTTACTCGGTCTCTCAGTCTGAGAAATGTATATGTACGTATATTTCTAAATTGCATATGTTACATATTGAGGTTATCAGGGACAAAAGTTTTGCTACCTTTCTTCTACATCTATCAAGAGCAAATGACTTAAAAGAAACTGACCAATATATTACTTGAATAGGTTTTTGAAAGTGGATCAATGACTAGAGTGATTCTGATATATTTATTTTATTTTATTATAACTGATCTTGGATACAAATAGATCACTTTGTTATGTAAGTTGAACATGAGTAGTTAATTACCTGCTATTAGTTTTTGGGTAGATAATTCAGTTCACTCATGACGATGATTTGTTTTTAAAAGTGTTCGTTGGGTATGGTTGTGATATGTAGTTGTGGGTCTTGTTCTTTTTGGGTGAAGATCAAACAGATAAAAAAATTGTAACTTAACTACGACAAAATACGAGAATGGGAAAGAAAAATTCAATACAAGAAAAAAAAGTTTTCACAAAGATTTCAGTATTTTTACGTATTACCACGTAGACAAATGTTCAAGTAATCATTAAATTTACTTTTCTCCCAGCTAACTCGTAAATTAACAAAATTATGGCTGATCAAAAAAAGTGGCATAACCTCAATTGGTCACCCCTGATGTTTTTCAGACAATTGAATTTCAATAGTAAAAAAAAACGCGTCTCAAATCGTTATTTATTTGCAATCGTATTTCGTGTTAATTTTATGACGTGGTTTGAAAATTCATATTTTGATACCCAAAAAAGTGACATGAAGTTATTTCTTAATAACAAATTTAAGTATAAAATTTAGGAAAGATATTACTCTTTTGTGAAGCATAAACTGTGAATAGAATAGTAAATCAATTACAAATATCAAATTCAGTTCGAAGTATCATACGCAAGCGTAGTTCAGTTTAGATATTTCCGACATTTAATAAAAGTTTAATAAAATATAATTACCTAGTGTTAACTCTGCACTATTTCTTGAACTTTGTAAAAGTAATTACGTCTGAATCAGACAATCTCTACAACTTACCTGTGTATGAACACAGTTCTCACATCGTATGATTTATTTAATATTAACTTATGTTATTTATTTGTAATTGTAGGTACGTTAAAGGTCATTGTTACAGATTCAATTTTCTATTTAAGATTATGATTCGTATATTTTTAAAATATCAAGCTTGATTTATTTTAATGAATTTTTCTTCTGAAAGATTTTTTCTACAGATTTTTGAGATAATCTGTTTTTGTAGTTATATTAGTATATCAAGAATTATAATCGTTACCTGTATAATTTTAGATGGTTTTGTCATTTTGACGATGACAACTATGTGAACGTTCCAAAACTCGTTCAAATGCTGAGTGGTTACAGCCCCCAGATGGATTGGTACTTGGGAAGACCAAGCATCCGTGCACCTTTAGAAATTATGCAGAAGGAGAGATTTTTCAAGGTAACGAAATTTGTCTTGTAAAAATACTGTATGAAACTGATTCAAATTCATTGTCTAAATCTTATCATTCACTGGTTACTAATGACGACTCACTCCCGTTTCACTCACGCATTGCAAAGTTTATATTCAATTTGTCGCCGAAGCGGCGGCATCCGAGTGGAAAGGGTTAAAGTTAAATTTTGATGTTATCGCTTAATTTGAATTACACTACATTTATCGACGATGATAATTAGCTTTTAACAATCAACTTTGTTTTTTGCAATTTAATAACTTTGTATGAAGCTTTTATATTAAAGGTGTCGTCGAGCTGCCGGTCTGTGCAGTAGTTCGACGAGTATGTAAATTATAAACAAATCCTTATTACCTTATTTTCTCTGTTTTGTTTCTCACGTCATACATAAAAACGCTTCAGTGTCAATACATACTTTCTCTATCACTTTGTTATCTTATGAAGACTCTAAATTTGCTATTTTTGGCGCTTGCCCAGAAACTTACTTGGATATTGGATATAAATTTCTCAAATGAATATTTTCATTTTTAATATAGTTTCAAATTATTACATATTTTTTCTAATAATGAACTTAATTATTATAATTAATTGAGCTTTTAACTTTTCAGCGCAAAGCATCTTTTTGGTTTGCAACGGGAGGAGCTGGATTCTGCATTAGTAGAGCTCTTGCACTGAAAATGCTTCCTTTAGCAAGGTAAGTGTATTATCAAATACTTGAAAGACATTGGTCATATTTTATTACTCATTTATTACAAGCACTAAATTAGTATTTTATTGAAATTTTACTATGCCTTCAAAATGTTTTTATTTTTAGTGACGGAAAGTTAATAACTATTGGAGAGAACATTCGACTGCCTGATGATGTCACTGTAGGATATATAATTGGTACACATTTTAGTTTTATATTTTTTGTCTTATCGTTATTTTATGCAATGTTATATAATGCAATTGATTTGTGATTTTAGAACACATATTGGGTAAGAAATTAACTGTTATAGAACAATTTCACTCACATTTAGAATCAATGAAGTTTCTCCGTGCGGAAACGCTGCAAGATCAGGTTAGTCTTATTGTTACTTCTTGTTTTATGAACTTGTGAATTTCTTAGGCCTGTACTACTAAACTACACAATTTTTAAGAGCACTTCAGTCAGTGTATCTTAGTTTGTTTAAAAAAAATCATTCACATCAATGTTATTCGCGGTTACGGCTCAAAAGTTTAAATGAACAAGAGGTCATAGCTTTACCAAAGCTCTAAGTTGCACTTAAAAGCTCATAATTTTCAAACAACGTGAGAATTTTTTTCTAAATTTTTTCAAGACAGTTAAATTCAATACTATCACCCCGTTTCAGCTTGACGTCAAGCCTGGGATAGCCTGTATATATGTATATGTATATATATTATGTAGATATCTTTGCTTATTTTATGTTTAAATTTTTCAGATATCATTTAGTTTTTCACGGAACAAGGGCGAATGGAATGTAGTGAACGTAAATGGATTCGATCATAAAGATGATCCAAACCGATTTCTGTCGCTGCACTGTTTGTTGTTTCCAAACTACAGCTTTTGTCCAAGATGACGAAGAAATAGTGGCTGAAATTGGCTAGTGTTGTTAAATGTGAAATTAACTGTGATTCCAAATGGATATAAGTCGTTGAAAACAGTCATTAAGTGAATGGGGAGTTGCAATTGCATTCGCATTGCGATTTTTATAAGGTAACAACATAATGTGGTGTGTTTCTTAACCTCTTCGCTACGAGCGTCCCATATAGGACATCCACGTGACCTGTGTGTACGGGTGTTGCCTATAGACGACATTCAACGTGTCGACCCTTGCTTCAATATTTATCGCTCTGATATAAATTATTGAGAGTTCTAATTTGTTATTGTAGTTTTTAGTTCGTTAGAAGTATAATTTTTAATGTTTAAATACATTTTTTTGTTAAAAATGATTGAAAATTAGTGAAATATGTTGAGCTTAGTCCGCTCAGTCTGGCGACTCGCTGACTCGTACAGCAGTGTCTTTTCTGCGGAAAACACTCACGTAGCGAAAGGGTTAAATATGTTATTGTTTATTATATATTAACGTACAATTGATAATACGTACAACACAATTTTGTGTTAAGAATATTTTTTTAGATTGATGTCACTGTTATTCTATTTTATTACTTTATTACTTTAGTCACTGTTACTTTTCATGACGTTATGGTAAACTAAAATTATAGTTAAGTAGGTTTTAGTATTATTCATTTTAGTGATGCACTATGTTGATGTTTTTGTTAATATAATTTTTTATTTACGTTTTAATATTACATGACATTAATATTTAGTATAATATAATTAACACAACGTCTGTAGCAATAATTTGAAAAGGTCGTAATGCCTTAGTCATTGCCTTTTTACGAAATATATCCCGAATATTTGCGCGAATACGCACGTTTATACTACATACATAGTATGTATAAATAAATTTAAATTTATATATACGTAGTGACTGATTGAATAATATTGTTGGTACTAGTCCCTATTAATATAAATATATTTTATTATTTGATAAATTTGTATATACGTATTGAACTAGGATAACGCAAATATTTTATTACTGAAACTTTGTCAGTATATCAATCTTAAAAAAGCAACCTAATTGACAATACGCGTTAATTAACTTGCTTTTTTAATGTTGATCGTACGAATTATTCATTCCAAATCGTTCTTTGCACTGTATTTTACTATAATTAAAAAAAGAATATAATACATATATAATATAACATTCATGAGAATTTTTTATTATATGAAAAAATATTCGCTTCAGTATTTCTTCTAATAGTCCAGACATTATAGTAAGTTCATCTCGGAATTCGAGATACCCAGCTGTAAGTCTGTAAACACTTGTATATTGACATTTAAAAGCTGTCTCAAAACCTACATATGGTAGGGGGTAAGACTACTTTAGGGTGTCAATATACGAGGTGTGTTCAAAAAGTACCCGGAATTACTAATAATTAAATTTCGCGGGTCTGGAGTGTCTGATTGTCAAATTTTTTTTTTATTGTGTTGGTATACATGCCCCTAAAGTATGATGAAATTTTCAGCTATATTCACTGTTTACTTTGTCTGTGGTAGTCGCTAAGGTTCGACGTGTTTTTCTGAGCTCGGCGATTTTTACAATGGAAGAATTGAAAAGTCAAAGAATTTGTATTAAATTTTGCGTAAAAAATGAAATAAAGTGTTGCAAAGTGCAAAAATTTACCAGATATGGCTCCGTGTGACTTTTTCCTATTCCCAAAGTTGAAGAGACCCATGAAAGGACGGCGGTTTTCCTCGATTGAAGAAAATCGCTGAGAGTGCTCAAGGACATATCAAAAAGTGAATATCAAGGGTGCTTCGAAAATTGGAAAAAACGCTGGCATAAGTGTATTATATCTGGGGGGGACTACTTTGAAGGGGACCACATTAATGTAGACGAATAAATAAATATTTTTTTGAAAAAACGAAAATTCCGGGTACTTTTGAACAGACCTCGTATAAGTATTTACAGACTTACAGCTGGGTATCTCGAATTCCGAGATTCTTACCTAATTTAAGCTTAAATGACTGGATAGATTAATGGCAGATAGATTAAAGCGTCAAATGCTGTCCTTCGTGTAAGTTTAACAAAAATACTTCATAAACATGTAATATTAAAAAAGGCCCAGCTTATTGAAACTCGCAGATTATAATACACAGTTATCTGTATAATTTTTTTTTCAAAATTTGTTGCTCTACACTAGTAAATTGTGCTTGGGTCTGTATTTGAGAAACCCGCGATGTGTATTTTGTGGTCAGGTATCCAAAATTCAATTCCTTCTAATTCAGAAGAAATAAGATAAAAAGTATTTGGATATAAGACATTTGGAAATTTTTACATGAATGACAATTTATTTGAGTTTATAAAATTAGATAACATACCATTAGTGAATCTAAAATAAAAATTCGTACTAAAATCACATACTTTAATTACAAAAATAATATTTCTGTTACGGACAAATCAACATTTATCATTTTACAAAAAGTGTTTCATATTATATTACTCAAGGTGTGTACAATGCAAACGGAAAGGAAAAACCAAAGTGAGTTAAAACGAATGAATTATTTTTGACAAATATCACCATTATATTAATATCACTATGGGATTGTTTTTTTTATTGTTTCTATTACGCAAACATAGGACCATCAAATGCCGCGCTCGAATATATGAATAGGAATTCATATCTCTTCGAGCTGGATTTAGCAGCTCATTTGTGATTGTTCAAGAATTAGATGAAGATGCGCCAAAGCTACGACTGGTGAACCTGTCGTTACTTCAGGTGGCCAGAGTACACTTGGTGTGATGTCCAAATGAGAATACGATATTGGCTTCTCCGATGTCAATCCGTGTTTGTCCAGGCCAGATACCAGTGTCAAAAAAGCCACCGGATACTAGAGAAAATACAAATGATTTTATCAACGCGCTCCATGTTAAATGTTTGAGACTGTTGAGACCAAATTGTCGCAGATTCTACTTCTCATGAAAAATATTTTGTTTAATAAAAATAGTGAAATGTAAGAACAGGTTTGATATTATATTGAATACTGAATTGCACATAATTAGCTTATGCAACTACCAATCGATATATCACATTAAATATATATATATATATATATATATATATATATATATATATATATATATATTAATTTAGAAATGAGAACACTCTTTTTTGCACTAATTTATTAAATAATAATTTTACAAACGTTTCGAGACTAGGTTTGACTCATCATCAGTGTGTTATAATTTAAAATCTACAATATGTGAACCTAAATTAGTATTGTGTTATCCGTTACAAGTCGTTCATTATACTGCCCCACCAACGATCATCGGATTCTGAATTCTCTATTCAAGGTCAAGTGATAATTTACGTTAGTTTGTAAAATTATTATTTAATAAATTAGTGCAACATTAGTGTTGTTTGTTCATATTTCTAAATTAATATCCACTCAGAATACATTTGTTATATATATATATATATATATATATATATAATGTATATGCATATAAATAATGTTTTTCTTTTAAAAGGTTTTCGTCTAATTTATATATAACAAAAATATAAAAAATATGTTCCACTTTACTTGATGTCCGCGCATTTGTCGAGATGACGCTCCAGCCAGACATTGAATTAAGTTTTCGCCTTTTCCTACACTTGATACCGCTACGGCAAAATCTTCTCTACGTAATTTGCTGATTTCGAACGGTTGTCCTGTTAATAGATTGATTGGTATTAAATAGGCTAAATTTTTGAAAGAATAAATGTTTGCACCTAAATGTTTTATTTGTTAATTTGTGGTCGTAATTCAATTAAGGGTCACGAATTGAATAAAATCGATAAAAGAGAGTTTGAAATATTTGTATGTTTATACAGCAATAGCACAAACTTTGAAAAATTAATACATGCGAAAGTACATAGAGTATTATAGATTGATATCAACGACATCGACGAATAAAATGTTATTTTATATTTTAGATCTATCACAGAATCATTGCCATGTTTTGGGATTTTTTTAGTATATAGAATAATACTTACCAACCGCCTCGCCTGCCAGCTGAAGTTTTTGGGCGTGATCGTGGTACGCGGCCACTGAATTATCAATAACGATGCTGTAACCCAATCCGACGGTTAATTGGGCATGTCCAGTCAATGTAGCAATGGTGTACAAATGAGGATCAGGGCTGGTTTCCGCTTCTTCTCGGCACTTTAATATTATAAGTTACAGTAAGAAATCAGTCGCATTGGTTTTTGTATGTATATTAAACCTTTGTAAGAACATCTGCCATTGCCATTCGTCCTTCGGCGTCAGTATTGATAATCCGAACATTCATGCCGGAACGCGATGTAATTATTTCATCAGCAACGTACATCTCTGGTCCAACGCTGTTGCGGACACACGCCATTGCTCCTACCACACGTAATTTCTTCGGCCGTATCAGGTTGCATAACTTCCGTGCAATTTTAAGAAATTAATAAGTAGTCTGCATTGCATTTAGTATATTTTATAATTTTTTTTAGTTTCTATGTTGATGTCATAGACATCAAGAATGGACATAATTTTCTAAGAAAATTTAAAAAATGTCATTCCTAAATTGGTGACATTGAATCAATACTTCAATTTTTTGATAAAACTAAGTATTAAAATCAACGTCATTTCGGTATTTCCTTTTTGGACAGCAACGAGCGTCTACCCAGGATCAGCTCTGCATATATAATTATTTATAGTGTATTTATAGTGTACATATATATGTGTTCCGGTAAAAAAAAATCACACCACTGATTAAAACTAAGCATAAAAGAACAAAAAATGTAAGGTTCGAAAACTGTTTGGAGAAACTGTACTTAGTTGTTTTTGCGCGAACAGATCTTTTGATTATTGAGATTTATAACAATTTTTAAACCAGCTTGATAACCACTCAATATTATTCAAATGATTAATGAAATATTTAGATAGGTTCAAGTTTCCATATGTATTAATAAAAATTGTACTTGAATAATGTTTCTTCAATATTTAGGACGTTTGCATCTGAATTTATTATTGTTACATATTGAAAAAGAATATTCAATCAAATTATTGGGGAAGTACGGTCAAAATAAGATATCCTTTGTTTTTTATTGATCATTTATAATCATTATAACCAGATTTACATCTTTGATTTATTGACTACAAGTAATATAGTTTTTCAATAAAGTAGGAATTATAATAACATATTTTAAAGGAAAATATAACTAGTTGCCAAAACCAATTTTTCATATCCATATAGGGTAATATAGGGTGAAGATATACTTAGATGCTAATTCTTAAGCAGTTCAGTGGACCCCTTTGGAACATAGATCATATTATACATAGTAACCAACCTTTGTCGGGCTCAAAACGGGAGAAAAAGATTTTGCAATAAATGTATTTTCTTATTGATGGATACTTTGGTCTGTTTGTAAATTCAGTTAAAGTAGTAGTTAAAAGCCAATCACTTTTGACAAGCTTCAATTTTCTTTTTTCTTGGCCTCGAATAAACTACCCTGTAGTGCTCACGAGATTTTATTTTGTCCATTATATAAGTATGTCATTTTGTCCGAAAATGAACAAACACAAATAAACAATCAAAACTCCTTTAAACTCTTAATTATTGCAATAAAAGTGATCAAAGTCACTAGTACTGGCATAAGTTCATTAATTTTACTAGAAATAATTACAAATAACAATGAATAAGCCCTAAAAAACGCGACAAAACCAACCTCAAAATAAACATTTGAATGCGCGATAAAGGTTTGGACTGATTACTGCAACAAGACTGTGGCAATGACGTTCAACATCTGACAAGATTGTGATTATGGCTTTCGTTGCATTATACAATCTAATTTTAGTGGTCTATATTAAAGACACTGTCATTTTGCCCATATTATACTATTTTGTCTGTATTTTCCCTACATTTCATTTATCTTCGATTTCAAATTCTGATTCACGTTTAACTTAACTGATATTTTCGTTTAACTATGTTGATGTAAATCATTGCAAATTTTGATTCACGTTTAACTTAAGTGATATTTTTGTTTAACTATGTTGATGTAAATCATTGCATAGTGTTGTTGAAGATGACACTTTGTTGACCGGCAATTTTACTGAAAATGTATCTCATGTTACCGGCTATTATTTCAAAATTGGATGAGGAAGTAAAAAAATTAATAAATTTTATGTATTAAAATTTCTTCTTATTTATATATGATAAGCAGTATAACAATCATATTTATGTGACAGTACACAGCAGCTTTTACAAATATTAATAGTAACAGCGCGAGTTAACTCGTGATCGGTCAACAAAGTGTTCTGATAGAAATATTTATACTGATGATCCAAATTTAAACAAAGTACTAGAACATTTTTCTCTGTTTTAGTTTTTCAAATACTTAATAATATTACATGCATGAATCCTGCGACGACTGCCGCTCCGCTTTTGTCTCTCGACATGCCTATCATTGCTGATCCGACTTTGACATCGGCTCCGCCAGTGTCGTAAGTCACTCCCTTGCCAACTAAAAATATAGTTCGTTGGGGTTCCTCGTCTGGCTTGTATTCCAGGTATATTACGCGAGCTAAAAGTGCAAATACGGTTAGTTTCTTTATATCACCGAATGAGCTATCCTTAAAACGTAAACATTTTTCTCGTTCAATTTTACAAAGCCATCAGATTGTGATTTTAGTGTGATTTTTCTTAACGTACCTTTTTCATAAGGCAAGATAAAGGTTGGCCCAGTACTAATTGATGTATTTTGTTAGAATATCTATTATAGTATGGATTTATTCTGAAGCAGCAATACCGTAGAAGGCCTATCTATGTTTACTTGCAAACATGTGAATATGTTTTTTCTGTATTTTTTTGTTTTATTTGAAAATTTGAGTTTTATTTGCTAAATTGTTGTTAATTATTTTGTAGCCAGTAGCTTCAAACAATTCAAGCTTACATCAATATTTTCTTTTATAAAAATTTATTTGAACAGCGATCAGAACTTATGGGTTCTATGAACTGTTGTGATTAATATCTCACAAACTATGTTTGTTTTTATTATAGATGGCTACCCAAACAGTTGTCTCATCTCTATGCGCTAATTTTTTTTTATTACTGTGATAGTGATGCATTTAATTGGTGCAGCAATACCGTATTAGGGCTGTTTTCACTTGGAAACATATTGCTATCTATATTTCCAAGTGAAAATCGTTGTCACTGCTACCTGACAACAGGCTACGTCAATATTAAAATTTCATTCATACATATCTGAATATATACATATACGTATACTTTTATTATTTATGGATTGCTAGTAGAGGATACTGGGTACGGTTGTGCCATTTTTTTGATCAGTCATAATTTTGTTAATTTACCAGTTAGCTGGTAGAAACATGAATTAAGTGATAATTTGAACATTTGTCTACGTGGTAATACTGAAATCATTTTTTAACACTAGAATGATGGGGCTTGGTTGATATTGATATCTATTTTGCCTGATTGAGTCAATTTGACTCAATCGTCAAACAAGCAATTTTTTTTTATTCTGAACACTTTTTGCATACATATTTATCTTTTAAAATACACTTTCCCAATATTTTTATTGCATCTGCTATAAACGCCCATGCTTCTGTTTCTGTTGAATGGCACTTGTACCTGGCAAATTGCACGGTTTACAATATTTTGTATATTAGATAAAGTCAAAGTACTTTTGATTTGATTTCTGTAGATGCCGCTTAATTGTTTATTGAAATCAATATCGTTCGATAGGAAAAGAATATCATATATTATATGTATGTATGAATCATACATATATGATATTTTTTTCCTATCGATCGATATTGATTTCAATAAACAATTAAGCGGCATCTACAGAAATCAAATCAAAAGTACTTTGACTTCATACAGTATGATATAAAATAAATTATTACCCTGATGTCGCTCTACGGTGCTCGCAGCACGATTTACAGCATGTAGTAGTGGGTATTCTTTAAGCAATTGTTGCTCTTCTTTGATGACAGTGATATTTATTATGCTATTTTTAAATAATGTTTTTACATATTCTTCAATTCTTGATGCACACATTCGTTCGGGATCACTGCCAGCTTGAATATGGTAAGAAAAACTTTATTACTTTTTATAAAGCACTGTTTGTTATAATTTAGTAAATTTTGTTCAGATTAATCACCCTAATATACCTACTGCAATTTCAATACTGGATTAGAGTTGTTCAGAACTTAACGAATAATGAAGTAATAGGACGCCGAAAATAGTAGACTGTTCTACAAGAATAATTCTTTTGAATTGGTGTTACTTATTATATAAAAAGCACCAACGATTATTATCTTAGCTGAGAATATACCGTGGAGTCTACAAAAGTTACTTTACTTTAAAGATTTGTGATAAATGCAAATTATCTAGTAATTTCTTCTAGTCTTTAAAACAACTTACTTATTTTGTTGATCAATATGGTTTTCTTTAACGGGCTACATAATATTATATTTATTTATCTAACAAAATTAGAGGGTATCTTGAAGTAATAGAAGTAAATATTTGGCAAGATAAAACATTGCAGTGCTTTTGCGTAGGAGATGCTCCTACATACAATAGATTCAAAAAAAAAAAATGAATGTAAACACTATGTATCAATCTCGTATGATCGAGCAATTCAGCAACGTTCTGGTGGACTAGTATTATTTAGTATAATTATCATAATTCAACTTTTTAATGACAAAGAAAATTTTAGATTATTGCATATTTTGATGCATGTTCCCTATAATGAAATCGTTAAAAATAATATTAATATATTTTACCAATATCCCGCGTAACAAATCTCGCAGTTTCATACATTAGTGCGAGTCTGAACAATTGTTTCTGATCACCCTTGAAGCAGGGGGCCATCGCCCAAAGCTGGATCTTGGGTATGCTCATAAAATTAGATTCTCGATATTGCAGGGGCTGAAATATAGTTATCATAACCCAGTAAATAATGAAATGAATTTTGCTATTCTGTTAGGTGTAATATTTAGTTTTAGTTCGTTAATAATAAGGTCTCGTTAACTAAACAACTGGGCTCTCAATAAAAAAGTAGCAATGAATAAAATTCTTTTGTTATGAATTTTTAAACATTGTCGTTTATCTCCCGATAGCAATGTCGTAAGAATCAAGGTGATGGTAAGATATACATCTTTTTTCCTCTATTTTCAACTATAGTTAATTCAGACCTTTATGCTGCGCTTAATCCCATTCTTATTTATAAAATTAATCTTCTTTTTATATTTATAAAATATTGAATATGTGCATTTAGTTCTTACTGAATAGAAATATATGATTGAAATGATTTACTAAATAAATATATTCGACTTTTTTGCCTCGACTCTGAATTACATTGCTTAACCTTTGCTGTTTCTAGTGGTTGCAAATCACAGACGACTTACGCGGGTGTTATATGAGCGCGAGCGTGTACTTGCTCAGGTTTTTTCTACTTTTGAATGTGTTCTACCACATGAAATAAAACAAAATTTTGGACACTATAAGAAAATTGAATATCCTTTCTAATGATGCTAATTAAAAATTAGCCCCAACAACCGCACTACCCGAAAATTCAAAACAAAAAATTTTCATCACTTTTTCATGCACTAAAAAATAATTATTTAACAACATTTGTCATTAAAAGTTTAATGCACATCGATATGAATATAATCCCGTTATTTGTTTTTTTATATCTTTTACAGTTGCGACAAAAATCGACTTTGAAAAAGGGGCCACTTTCATACATTTTCAATGATATCTCGGCCAAATGATGAGCTACGGATTTGAAATTTGGTATATCGGATTTTCTCGAAAATTCTTATAAAATGACATCAAAATTATTTAAATACCAGGGTGGAGCCAATTCTGTATGGAAACACGCCCATACCCTTTGGTTCAAGTTATTTCATTTGCAAATTCTTAAAGATGCTTAGAAATACAGTTATGCTCGTAATCGTTCCAATACTTAACTGCTTTTACGAACTAAAATACAGATCTAAAAAAATTTTATTAGTACGACACTACTTGTATTTTTATTAGATCTTTTCTTTGAAATGCTTAATTTCGGGACCAAATAAATGCATTGTTAATCAGCATTGATCAAATTAATATTGCCCGCGGAATACCAATCAAAATTATTTCGTGTAAGAGAGGTATTTTTATGTGAAAGTATAAAGTACGTTACTGGTGTTAACCGTGATGGATGTTAGCTTATTCCTAAATTTTCATATGCACCTGATAAACTTCGCTAAAGGCACCCAATAGAGCTTGCAATTCGGCAGTGTTAAAGCGAATCGAGGTGGGCAACATTATCAGGGGAGTGAGACGACCGGCCAGAAGGCATCTCTTAACGCCTTTGGATGACGCTTCCGCAAAACTTCTTCCATCGTCGTAATCACTGAGCTCGCTTACGGGCACGTATATAACAAGTCCGCCAGGAGCATAGTCGTTTTCAAAAATTGTTGTCTATAAAACCGATAATGCAATTTTGTTGGTCTCAATTTTATAACATGCAATTAGCAGCATTACTTATAGCTGTAATATAAAGTATTAGTTACATTCCAATTATATATGCATATTGCATTTGACATTGCGTTTGAATCTTACATAATTTCATATATTATATTTATATTATTTTTATATATATATATATATATATATATATATATATTAGAGCGTATATATATATTAATATATATTTTGACAATCAGACACTCCAGACCCGCGAAATTTAATTATTAGTAATTCGGGTACTTTTTGAACACACCTCGTATATATATATATATATATATATATATATATATATATATTAATATATATATATATATATATATATACAGTGGCGTCGGAACCAAATTTTTGATGGGTGGGCTCGTTTTTTTTTTTTTTTTTTTTAGATAGGCAGCCAGTGGTCTCATTTTTTTTAGAGATATTAGCCCATATAATTTTTTGAAATTGATGGGTGGGCTGAGCCCCTCCATCAAAATTCATGGGTGGGCTCAAGCCCACACAGCCCACACGGTTCCGACGCCACTGTATATATATATATTAGGGAGGCCAATTCATTATAGAAGTAAAATTAAGCGATATGGGCACCTTTTCATATGAAATATATGTGTTATTTAAATGAATTTTGACTGCAAAACCATATATCGCAAATAACTTTTTAGCCAGCGAAATTTTCAATAAAATACTGTTTTTAATAAGTAAATGTATTAATTTAGGCATGTGAATAATTCAAATTGTGAATTTTATTTTTATTAAGATTATGTGCGGGGGTTTTTAAATCGGGTTTAGTTTGTTGTTATTTATTTCCATCAGAGTGCGCTAGTATTTTATTATTATACAATTAATTCTAGAATGTAATTCTAGAAATTTCGAAAATAATATATTAATGTGACAATTCCGCATAAATGTTCATTCAGTTCGTCACTAGGGCGTCAAGTATCAATGGCGAGTTCTTATTTAAATTCAGCCGCAAGTGCCAGTAATTTGAATCATATGCCCTCGCATGATCAAATTATATTTGGACCAGCGGAATAATTTACAGGAGTGAATCTTCCGACAATTATGGAAGTTATCAGGTATTATTTTTATTTGGCGGAAAAATAAAAAAAACAAAATAAAATGTTTTCATATAAATCATTTACTCCAAATGTGGTAACGAAATTGATTCAGACGTGGGAAAAAATTGATATTCCAATTATGGAGAAACGAAGTATCGCTAGAAAATTGAACCGATTGATTGATAAATATAAAAGTACAAATAAAAGCAAGTCTACCCAAGCATCATTTCAGGAGTTTGTAGAATCCACGAAAGAATTATTTTATATTGGAAAATGCAAATGCGATTTGCGAAGAATACTGTGTTCCTGCGGACTGATTCCAGAACATTTAAAAGCGTTTATGATGGATAAACATAATGAGAGGAAATCTACGATACCAGAATATATTATAAAAATTGAAGACGAGGTATCAGAATCTACAATAACTAGCAATATTACTCCAGGTGAGACATATACTCCAGATGTTGATTTTGATTTTAAAAACAGTTCGGAAAGTTCACAAAATACTTCTCATATAAAACGTGGTCCATATAGTCGAAGATATAAGGCTCCAAGCTATGCTTTAATGTGCGACATATTTGCAATTTCTGATAGAGTTGGTTCTGGCGTGGTGACGGCAATCCTGCGTGACCTGGGCGTAACGGATGATTGGGGCAATCCTGTCATTATGGATAAAAATGAAAGCGTTCGTGAGAGGCAGAAAAATAGGCAAGCTTTACACAAACGATATGATTCTTCTGAATTAATAGCATTTTTATTCGACGGCCGAAAAAATGATTCTATTACCATGGAAAAAATCGATAAGAAGTTTCACCCACGAATGATTAAAGAAGCGCATTTAGTTATTTTAAAGGAACCGAATTGCCAATTGTTGGGTTACACAAAATTGGAAAATAAAGATTCGGAAAGTAAAGTAATCAAATTGAACGAGTTTTTCGCCGATAAAGGAATAGCTCTCGATTCTTGGATAGGCATATGTTGCGATGGTCAACCAGCAAATACAGGCGTAAAAAATGGGATTTTACGTCGATTTGAAATTCAGTTAAAAAGGCCACTGCATTGGTTTGTGTGTCTTCTCCACTTTAACAAACTTCCACTTCGCCATTTATTTAACTATTTGAAAAAATCATTGACCACTGGACCACGAACAAAAACTGGAATATTAAGCAAACAAATTGAAACATGCGAAAATATACCGGTGAGTTATAACATATTTACTATTTTTAATATCCTATGTTCAAATTCAATATAATTTATTTTTTCCTATATACTTCCAGCCGGTAAAAGACTTTGAAACAATCCCACTTGAAAATTTGGCTGATATAAGTCCTGCTGAATCGACAACTGACTCAAGTTATTTAATAAAAATAGCTAAAGCAGTTGCTTCTGGTAAGTATCGACAGACTTAGCTAACATGAAACCAAGGCCAATAGCACATTCCCGTTGGCTTACGAAGTAGGTTACTTCGGTTATATGTAACTACTAATAAGCCATCCAAAAATTTGAAAATTCTGGCAAACTACGTAATGAAAGTATATATTCCAATGTACTTTAACATTAAATATTACAACTCTGTGGTGTATGGTAGTATATTATTTTATAAATTTATTAGCTGGACGCAATATTTAGACTCGAATTTAAGACAAATTGTGAACAATGTTGCTAAAGAAAACGCATACTATGCTCACTCGGAAAATATTTTATTAGCAATGTTGTTTGATAATAAAAAGGAAATACGAGATTCAGCTATAAGAAAAATCTTATATTACCGTAATAATGTGGAAGACCTGACGCAATTGAGAGATTACAAAACACCCGAAATAAATTTTGAATGCAGCGACTATACTAATATGATAGATATGGATGATTATTCAAATATATCCGAAATTACGCTAAATATTCCTCATGAACATCTAGTACAATATCTACAAAGCAATGAGTGTCCATGGAGTGACCCTAAAATTCCGGTCCACATTCAGGGAACTGAGAGACATGTTCAATTACTGGCTAATGTATCAAAACGCGTATTAGAGCAAAATCGCGAAGGTGTTATGACAGCGACACTACTATCTCGTGAAAAGCATCCTCGACTGGAAAGCAAGCAAGATTTCAGATATTAATTTATTTAAATTGTATTAGCTAAATGTAAAAAAAATTATTTTAAATAAAAATGTAACTTAAAGAAATAAAAATGTTGTATTTAAACCATGTCATGTAAATAAATAATAGAGTAAATATATGTCATTCCTAAAAACCCAAAAACGATATTTTTCTACAAAAGTAGTTTGACCTGTTTCGATGCAAGATTCTAGGTTAGGCTTACTCGCTAATGTCCCCTAAAAGTTTACTTGATGTAGTCTTAGGTACCCGTAAGTTACTAAGTAGTTACTAAGTAGTTAAGGCGTTTAACTGTTTCAAACTTGAAAATTTGAAACTGTTTTTGGGGTATATCTCGCGAACGGTAAGAGGTATTTCAAAAAATTTCATACTAGGTTAAAAAACTTTTGATTTAGAATATTTCACCTGAAAACATCAATATTCTATGATGAGTCTTTCAAAAGTTATAATTGCTTAAAGATTTCATGAGTAAAAATGCCCAAAAAATGGACGAAAAATTTGTTAGTTTTTTTTAATTTTCACAGACTTCCCGGGCACGTAGAAGCTTCAATTAAACTTCAGGTAAATTGTCTTGTGGGCTAGAATAACGTGAAAAAAACTGCATTTTAATATTCTCAACGGTTGCCGAATAAATAAGAAAAAACTAAAATTATAGCATGATGCTAGGGTCACGTTTTGTATTCCGATTTTGGATGAAAATTTTTTGTTTCCGATTTTGATGATTTTCACAACGTTGATACCTTATGACATAAGAAAAATGCTATTAAAAAATTTCGATCGCACTTCAAATAGTTTTCGAGAAAAACGCATTTTTAATATGTGAAAAGGAGCGAATGGTTTTAAGCGAATATCTCGAGAACGGTTGGAGCTATCATAAAAATTTTTGCACCTGCAGATACATATTTTAAATGCGCATATTTCATTCATATACATCATGATCCTATGTTGAATATTTTCCGAGATATAGGCGTTTAACTGTTCCAAAATTGTAAATTTGAAACGGTTTTCGGGATATATCTCGCGAACGGTAACAGGTATCTTAAAAATTCTTATACTGGGTTAAACATCTTTTGATTTAGAATATTTCATCTAGGAACCTCAATATCCTACGATGAATCGTTCAATAGTTATAAGCGCTTAAAGATTTCACGAGTAAAAATGCCCAAAAAATGGACGAAAAATTTGTTAGTTTTTTTAAATTTTCACAGACTTCCCGGGCACGTAGAAGCTTCAATTAAACGTCAGGTGAATTGTCTTGTGGGCTAGAATAACGTGAAAAAAACTGCATTTTAATATTCTCAACGGTTGCCGAATAAATAAGAAAAAACTAAAATTATAGCATGATGCTAGGGTCACGTTTTGTATTCCGATTTTGGATGAAAATTTTTTGTTTCCGATTTTGATGATTTTCACAACGTTGATACCTTATGACATAAGGAAAATGCTATTAAAAAATTTCGATCGCACTTCAAATAGTTTTCGAGAAAAACGCATTTTTAATATGTGAAAAGGAGCGAATGGTTTTTAGCGAATATCTCGAGAACGGTTGGAGCTATCACAAAAATTTTTGCACCTGCAGATACATATTTTAAATGCGCATATTTCATTCATATACATCATGATCCTATGTTGAATATTTTCCGAGATATAGGCTTTAACTGTTCCAAAATTGTAAATTTGAAACGGTTTTCGGGATATATCTCGCGAACGGTAACAGGTATCTTAAAAATTCTTATACTGGGTTAAAGATCTTTTGATTTAGAATATTTCATCTGGGAACCT